TCCCGCCAGCCTAAACCTCTTATTTTCCTTAGGGGAGCAAAATTATTTGGTCTGCGCTGCCTGTGCTGCCTGTACTGGGCCAATGTCTGTATTTCAGCCTTCCTCAGTCTTTTCATACAAAAGTAGAGAGATGGATTTTTGCTGACAGCCTGATGAGCTCTTGGCTAGTGGTTGGTGAGTGGCACCAGATCCAAGAGTTAGGCCTCTGGTAGACTCCTCCTCCTCAGCCCAGCCTTCTACACTTACGCCCCAAATCTGGGTTGCACAAGATGTCAGCCCATCTAGTCCGAGTCCTCGAATTGCTCAAAGCAGACATCGAGTTTCATCCTCAGATCTGGATCCACAAAAATCTGAGTAACGTGGGATGGCAGACAGCCCAGTGGCACAGAAGTCACCAGGAAGAAAGGGCAGATCCACAGCCGCAGGGTGGCTGAGGCGGGTTGATCCTGTTCCTACACTTTACCCAAATGAGGACATTAAGTGGTGGGTTACCCCGGGAGCACGTAGCGCAGGAAGGTGTGTAGTCACAGAGGGTGCCGTGGCTGATCACGGGGTCCGGAGGTTATTGACAGAGCAGGGCTGTTGAGCTAGGGTGACATGAGAGCTGGGTCCCCAAAGTGAACATGTGTGTGGTGTGGAAGCTACTTCTTCCCTCTGTACACCAGGGGAGAATAGATTTGATGGGTTCAGGAAGGACTAGTGACATCCTGCAGTTGACATTCTGAGCTGCCCAGTAAGGTGAGCACTTCCCATCACTGGGCGTATCCATATCCCGGGAGAGATAGCTTAATGTTCCACTCAGGAACATGGGCGAGACAGGAGGGAGCCTGAGGGACCTTCGAGGTCTTTAGGACCTTAGGTCACATTGCTACCGTTCATACCTTTGGACAAATCTCTTCATGTGCCCCTTGTATCCCTACACGTCTGTCTAAGCACTTGGGGCCCAGTAGGCTCCTCTGAAGACTGTCACTGAGCAGCGCTTATTCAGTGGCTGGGTCCCATCTGTGTCCCACATAAGGCATCCTGGCCATGGGTCCAGTTTTCCTGATTGTCTTTTTCATTCATTGATCGAGCAGATATTCAACATGAGCCAGTGCCTAGACAGCGGTGGGTGTGCAACACTAATAGGGTGTGAGAGACTAAATCAAAGGCAGCAGGGAAAACAGCTTGACCCCAGACACCCAGATACCTGTTGGCTTGGTTGGTTTTTGAGCCAGGGTCTCACGAAGCCCAGACTGGTCTCGAACACACTACGTAACCGAGATGATCTTGGCTGAAACATGAGCTGACTCAGGCAGGGCTGGAACTGCCTGCACAGGCATCCTTCAGCTGGGACCTGAAGATGATGAACAGCTGGCAGGGGAGAGGGCGGGGCTGGGAGAACATTACCTCCACGGCACAGCTCAAACTGCAGCCCACGCCCAGGCCTTGCTGCGTGTGTGCACGCTCATCTGATACCCAAGCACCTGGGCCTGGGGGCAGCACGCATGCACTTGAGGGTTTGCACATAGAGGCAGTTGTGATGTCTTCCCAGACCAGCCTCAGATGACACAGGGGTCATTCGTGCCTTTGGCTACCTCTGTCATGTTCCACCTATGTGGCTGTCTATGAGAACAGACAAGCCACAGCCCAAAGGGGACAGCTCTGGTGAGACTGGGTAGACACCTGTGATCCCCATAACGCCTCCTGAACACTCACTTCTAAGTAGGGGGTGGATTCAGTGGGGTGCAGCAGCCTGCACACCTCTGTTTCAGCCTTTCCATGGTTTGTGTGCTGAGATCTTGCTGCTGCCTACCCCACTGCTAACTGCAGTGGTGGGGGTGGGGGGTTTCACAGAAGAGAGGGAGGGAGGACTCTATTCTCCCTCCGCACGCATACCCAGCAATTATTCTCTGCTATTGCCAATTCGAAATAAGTAGAAAATAACAGAGGAATAGAGGCAGGCCTCCAGGCCTGTGCTGAGTTCTTGCCATGCACTGCCATGACATTGGCATGGGCCGTGGGAGCAGGGAGCCCCACAATGGCTGTCTATGATAGGGCCTGCTGCCTTGGCTTGTTCCAGTCTGGTTAGCTGTGCAGCCCCAATCACTTTTCATCCTGGAGCCTCAGTTTCACCTATTTTCGACATGGGGATGTGGTGCTAGAGCACCCTGCCATTCCTCTAGAGTCCAGGCCACACTTGTGTGAGGTCCCTCCTCTGTGGATTTTGGTCACAGCAGCAATGATTACCAGAAGAAATAGCTTTTAAGCCTGGGGAGCATGGTGAATGCAGCACGGCTTGCTGCAGAGATAGGTACTGCAGCAGGAAACACGGGGCAGCGTAAATCAAGGCCTGGCAGTGTTCGGAAATACTGAGAAATGGCAACCAATAAGTACAAGTTGAAGGGCTTCGGATGCAGGGCGACATGAGACCCTGCCTCAAAGAACAAGCAAACATACTCTATAGATCAAATAGCTTTAATTTTAAAAATCCTAAATGAAAGCCAGATGTGGTGTCACACACCTTTAATCCCAGCATCCGGGAGGCAGAGATAGAGGCAGAGGCAGAGGCAGGTGGATCTCTGTGAATTCAAGGCCAGCCTGGTCTATATAGCAAGTTTGAGGCCAGACAGAGCCATACAGTGAGGCTCTGTCTCGAAATAAGTAAATAAATACCAAAAGACAAAACCCACCCAGCTGAGGGGCTGGAGAGGTGGTTCAGCAGTTAGGAGCATTGATTGCTCTTCCAGAGGACCTGGGTTCAGTTCCCAATACCTACATGGCAGCTGTAACTCCAGTTACCACCTGTAACTTATTCCAGGGGATCTGTTGCCTTTCTAGCCTCTGCAGGCACCAGGTATGTACTTGTTACATGTATGCAGGTAAAATACCATACATAAAATAAAAATAAATATACTTTTAAGCCGGGTGGTGGTGGCACACGCTTTTAGTCCCAGCACTCGGGAGGCAGAGACAGGAGGATCTCTATGAGTTCGAGACCAGCCAAGTCTACAAGAGCTAGTTCCAGGACAGCCTCCAAAGCCACAAAGAAAACCCTGTCTTGAAAAATCAAAAGAGAAAAAAAAGGGGGGGGGCTTTTAAAGAAACCCAAAAATGATCCAAACTCTGGAATTTTGGGAGAGACAACATGACTTCACAAATGAAGACTTCCACACTTGGCTTCATGTAACAGGTCATGTTCAAAACACAAATGCAGTAAAATTACATTTAGGCCACATGCCTCAGGTATATAGGAGGAACACAAATTTCCTGTTTAGACTTGGATCCCTCTCCAAGATATTTCATTATGTGTATGCAGATATTTGAAACACTGAGAAAAAAACCCCTGAAATCCAGAATGCTCTGGTTTCAAGCATTTTCGGTAAAGGAAGCTCACCTGTGTGATACAGGTGGTCCTCTGTGTGGCCCAGGGACCAGCCACAGCATGTATGAACTGATAAGGGCAAGTCCATGCCTTGCACCAGACCTGCATGGTCAGAAGCCTGGGACCAGCCTCACCCGTCTGGGCTCACAGCTCTGGCTGGCACTGAGAACTGACAGATAGGGTGGGGAGTAGAAGGGGTTAGGAGATCCATACAGAGACTCTGAAGGCCAAGAAGGGAGTCTAGTGTTTGCCAGTCCCTCCCACTGGAGGCAGACATTTCTGCTTCCTTTTTCCGTTGTGGCTGGGCAGGCGTCCCCGAGCCTTGTTAAAGCAGACTTCTCACAAAGAGTGGCATACCAGCTGGGGGTGGTGGCAGAGGTGGGGTTAGAACTCAAGGCCCAAGTTCTGTCTTCTGCACCAGCTGCTTCCGCAAGTACCTGCACCTCCTGCAAATCCTGCCTTGTGCTCCATTCCACTGTCACCCCAGAGCTCATCCCCACCCTCCTCAGCCTTCCTCCTGCACCCTACCATACAAAGTGAAAGGATGCTGGGCAGTGGTGGCGCTCTGTGAGTTTGAGGCCAGCCACCAGGTCTACAGAGTGAGTTCCAGGACAGCCAGGGCGGTTAGACAGAGAAACCCTGTCTTGAAAAACCAAAAACCAAAGCCAAAAATCAAACAAACAAACAAAGCTGAAAGGGCACAGCGTAAAAGCAAATGAGGGAGACTCAGGATGAGGGAGCAGGGTGGGCACAGATTGTCACTTTGTGTCCCTCAGCCTCCAGGGCTAAGTGCATCTAGGGAACCAGGATCAACACTCCCGTGGGGCTGGCAAAGCTTTCATGTTGAGACTCTTGCACATAGTGAGTGGCAACCCGCAGGCACTCTGAGAATGTATACTGTGTCCTGGGCTGGGTTCTGTCAGGGAAACTGAGGCAAGGCAAGTATAGTGTCTGGTTTCAAGGAGCTCCTGGTCCACAGCCATAAAAATCACAAATAACAGCTAAGGTCCAAGGGAGCCCATGATGTCTGGGGTGGGTCAGCACAGTCTATAGAGACTCGTTTGTCTTTAGGGGACAGACCCGACACTCTGAACCAGAGGGTGTGGACTCCATACCCAGCCCTCTCGATAACCCTCGGGGGCAGTTTGGTCAGGTCACCCCCATTCTGACCCAGCTTCTTATGTATAGACGGTGACAATACTTTGTTAGGGGGAAGGAGGAGAGGGGAGGTCATCTGGTAAATTGAGACAGGCACTCTCCCTGTGAGTAAATGAGTTCTTTCTCTTCCCTTGAGAGGATTACTTTAAACCAGGGCAGGGCAGGGCAGGCTGCATGGAAGAGGTGGCCTTGGCCTTCCTTTGATTTTTTTTTTCTTCTGCAGTACTGTGGATCAAAAGGAGGTCCTAAAATACCATGGGCAGGCCTCCCACCGCTGAGCCACACTCCCTGCCTAGGAGGTGGTTTAGGTGGGAAACCCCTGGGTGATCTCCAGTGTGTGGAGTGACTGGAGGGAGTGGCTTTCCAGGCAGCTCTGATTGGGAATGAAATCCAGCTGAGACCTTGCAGAGGGTGTGGTGGGCACCATTGGCCACCAGCATCGTCTCACCAGGGTCTGGTCCCCTGCTCTTTCCCGCAGATGATGCGGTTTGCGTGGCAGAATTACCGCCGTTATGCGATGGGCAAGAATGAGCTCCGGCCACTCACAAAGGACGGCTACGAGGGCAACATGTTCGGTGAGTTGACACAGACCCTGGGGCATCCAGTGCAGCGTCACTTTGGTCTGCCCTTTTCTGGCTCGACTCAGAGGACCCAAGTGCTTCTGTCCACTCCGACAACCTTACATCCCAGCAGTAGAGCTTGGGAAGGTGAGGATGGTGAGAGACAGGGTCTGGAGACGAGACCACGAAAGATTTGGTAAATCCACTTTACTGGAGGGTAGCGGTAAGGTGGCATTGTCCTCAAAGAGACCAAACGTGTATAAAAGAGACTGGGTTTGGGCTGCCTTTAGATAAAATTCCAGGGTGTCGCTCACGTTGCCTGGTGACAGCAGATTGGCCACGTGCCCTTGTTTTTCTCCTGCAGCCTCCGGCTGTGTCACCTCCCTCTTACAGCATTCTCTGGACCTAGAGCCCCTTTGTGTACCTCCTAAAGTCTGCAAGACCAGCATCCTAGTTCAGATGTCACTCTAGAGAGAAGATTTTTCTGGACAGCCTGGCCATCCCCTTCCTTTAGGGAAGGATGCTATGCTGGACCAGATAAGGGCAGCACCATACTCCTAGTCCTTACTCCAGAGGATTACTGTAGGGGACAGTTAGCCATGCCTGTTAGGTGAGGTCAGGGTGACACGGCATGGGCTCTTAAGGGACCGCAGAGCGCATGGAAGCTTCCTCTCCCTCCCCTTCTCCCTGGCCTCCCTGCTCAGCTGCCCCTGGCACGCTCTGGCTTGCGTTTGGCTGGTATTTATCTGAAAAAAGGTATCTTGAACCTACAAGCTCTCCCATCAGAATACAGGTTGCTGGAGTTGGGTCCAGAAAAGCAGGCCTGAGCTGGAACTTCCCAGAGAAACCCGTGAGTGGACGTCCCAGTGTCAGGGTTGGTGTTTAAAACGAGACCCAGACCCACACCCTCCTCCCGCAGTCAGTGCTGGAGTCTCTCTGCCTGTCCAAATGAGTCACCCGTGCGGCAGGAGCAAGGGACATGGATTTGAACAGCCTTATACATTTGTGAATGTAGGAGGAAAAGGGCTCCAAAAATTACAAAGTGGGCAAAATAAATGAACAGATGAAAGTTGATCTGTCTTGTAAATGTAGCTGCTGTTGACATCTTTGTTCATGTCCTACCGATTTTCCCTCCCATGCATTTACTCTTGTATATACAGTTTTGACTCTGTGGGAGGAATTCAGGGTAAATTGTTTTTCTATAAATGAGAAAGAATGTGTGTTGGTTGCTTTTCTCCTTTCTATGACCAGATACCTGACAAAAATCAACCTAAGGAAAAGAGAGTTTATATGGCTCACAGTTTAAAGGCTTACAGTCCGTCACGTGGAGAAGGTGTGGGGACAGGAGAGTGAGGTGGCTGTTGTCATCGAGAGAGAGCAGACAGAGATGGATTTGGTGCTCAGCTTTTAAGTTCAGTCTGTGCCCTGAGTCACACCCAGAGTCTCGTTGTGATTTTAAATCCAGTCAGGTTGACAGTGAAGAATAACTATCACAGAGTATTTGTATTAATTTTTAAAAAAATATTTGAGCCAGGTGTGGTGGTATATACTTTCAGTCCTAGCACTTGGGAGGCAGAGGCAGGTAGATCACTGAGTTTGAGGCCAGCCTGCTCTACAGAGTGAGTTTTAGGACAGCCAGGACTACACAGAAAGACCCCTTCTCAAAAAGCAAAGCAACGAGAGTGATAATAATAAATATTTGAGGTAGTTCTCATTATATTGCCCAGTCTGATGTTGAACTCCTGGGCTCAAACAGTCCTCTTGCCTCAGCTTCCGAAGTGGCTGGAGCGATAATCTGCCCATCTCCTGTGAAATGACTTTAGTGGTTTAAGTCGTCCCCTTTTCTTCTCTGTAAAGGAGAACTGGTGTTGACAGTGGGGTGTTCATGTTTGAAACTGCTCAGTATAGACCCAGCTTATTCCTTAGGTTTTACAGGAAGCACTTCTAGGATGGGTTGGGTTAAGCCCAGCTCTATTTGGTACCGTTCCCAGGCCCAGGATTTATTTATTTATTTATTTATTTATTTATTTATTTATTTATTTATGTTTTTTGAGACAGGGTTTCTCTATGTAGCTCCGGCTGTCCTGGAACTCACTCTGTAGACCAGACTGTTCTGGAACTCACAGAGATCCATCTGCCTTTGCCTCCTGAGTGCTGGGGTTAAAGCATGCACCACCACTATGAGGTTCAGAGCCTAGGATTTAAATCACAGCCCTTAGGGCCTTTATCAAGTGAGGGAGAGGACTGGGTGCCTGGAAGGATGGAAAGAACAGATCCCTTGAGTTAGAAGACTTGGGTGCAAATCCTCCCTCTGTCCTTAGCTATGTGGCTGTACCCAAGACACTCGACCTCTCTGGGCTCCAGATGGTGCAGCTTTTGTCCTGGGGTTTCTGTGAGGATATCCATGGGAGCGCGTGTTAGGAATGAGGAATGATTTCTACTGAAGTCAATGAGAGCAGCCATCGCCCCCCAGGAAGTCTGGGATGCGTTCTGACTCCTAGAACCCATTGTCGAGTTCCTACAGTAAGCATGCACTCCTGGCAGTAAGCATGCACTCCCAGGATGCCCCAAGGCCTGGGGAAGGGAGGGAGGGGTGTGGGGCCAGCAGACAGGAAGGCTGCTTTGATCCATTTGCTCTTTCACTCTCCACACTGTTGGGTGCTGGGCCTGGGGTCAGCTGCCAGGAACTCTAGGGTTGAATACACAGTGAAATCTTCAGCAGGCCATCCAGACTCACACTAGCTCCCCTTTCCTGGCACTCTCTGGGACCTGTCCAGGGTCTTCAGAAAGGGTCTGGTAGAGGTGACCATTAGACAACGCTATAAATAATCCTTAGTAGCATGACCTTCTAGAGTCAGACAGTCCTAGGTTCAAACTTGGGCTTCCCTGCTTTCTTGTTGAGTGATCTTGGGCTAGTGTTTTTCTCTGTAGCTATTCCTGGGAGCTGGAGCCACTGGTAGCACTGAGCGCAGCCTGGGCCTGCCTGTCTCAGAGCCCCTGTCAGTGACGACAGTTCTCAGAATTCTGAGTCCGTGAGAGCACGCCCAGAAGACAAGGATCCCAGAGGTAGGAGCAGCTGTGCTGGCCTGAACTCAGCACTGTACCACACTCCTGCTTCTTTCCTGGACCCAGTGGGGGCTGTTGGGTGGTCTCTGCCGTCACCAATGACCTCAAGGAGGCTGAGCCCTATAGATGCAGGATGCCCTGGGGTAGGCATGAATAGGCAAACCCATCCTGCCCTGCTGGCTGAGTGAGACTCACAGGGAGGTCCTGCCCAGTGTCCCCTGTATGCAGTGCTCAGATGGAATGGGCTCCCACAGCCTAGTCCCGGGAGCTGCACTGGGTGCCTGCACATGGGGAAGGTCCTGAGGTCACACCGGCGCCTCCCTTTGCCAAGGTCTACAGAAGCTGTGGTGACAACAGTCACTGTCTTGATCCTGGTCTCTCTGGTCTCCCTGTGTGGCCTCTCACCATGCCATCCACCCCATGCTGCCCCATCCTTCCTGAAAGCTGTTCTTACTCTGAGGGCACATCCTCCTGCTGAGGCCAGTTTTTGTGAACTGGGCATTTCACTGCCTCAGTAGCTTGTTCTCGTCCACATCCGACTCAGCAGGCCCAGTCGGAAGACACTCCTAAGGCCACCGGAGAAGACAGCCCACTCTTGGGGTGCCACTCAGACCAGAGGACTTGCCTTTTCCCTCCTCCACAAGTTTGCCATATGGGACACTTACTGTCCAGCTGGGTGGCAGAGGGGCATGGACTTCAGGTCCAGATAAGCTTGCTTGGCTCTATGCAGAGTGGGCAGGGGCTCAATTTCCTGGGCTTGTGGTGATTATGACTGTTTTATATTTTGTGTGTGTAAGAGGTGGAGGTCAGAGGAGTCTTCTACAGTGTGGGTCCTGGAGCTTAAATACCCATTGTCAGGCTTGTCGATATGTGCCTTCACCCAGTGAGCCATTTTGCCGGCCCTGCCTCTGGTAATTAATAGGAAGACGTGCACAGGACCCAGCCCCGAGCACCCAGGAGGCAGTCAGTAGCTCTTACTGCTCCTGTCACAGAGGCTAGTCCTCAGACTGGGACAGTATGGGCTACAATGGTAGAAGAGCCAGCCACAGATTGGCAGTCACCATATCGTAAAGTATGGCACACAGAGGCCAGCCACTAATACCCACTGCTAGAACTTGGGGGACTGGGAAGTTCACTGAGGGGCCTGGACTCCACAGCCAGAGGGCAGGGAATTAATGCCACTCTGCTGTTCCCAGCTGTGTGATCTCGGGCAAGTTTAACTTCTCTGGGCCTGTTCACCCAGCTGCACAGTGACACAGGGGCAGTGCTTCCTTCCCAGGATTGTCTTTAGAGGAAGTGGTCAGCACACACAGACCGATGCGTGCGTGCAGCACACAGGCGGCACTCTGCAGATGTCCGGTGCTGCGACCTGGCACAGGCAGAGCCCTGAGATCAAACTTCTGCTCCCCCGTTGTGGGGGAATGTCCAAGTTCCCTGGACCCACTTAAAGCCACAGGGCTGTCCTCTGCCTGTCCCCATTGTCCCTGGTAGGAATGCACCTCTTGACCCCCTCCTTTGAGCAGCACCCTAGAATCTTGTAATAGGAAAACAGCAAGAAATAAACCAGCCTCTGCCAGCAGAAGGGTTCAGGGTGTCCAGGGAAAGTGGTAGGCAGCCACTTTATTTGTATTCTATGTCAGCCAGTGGTGACCGCCCATCTCTCTGTCAGTGCAGTGAGGACTTGGCCCCTTCCTGACGGAACTGTCATAGGGCAGAGTCTTGTTGCCACCAGAGGGCCCCTTGATAGTGTGGCCGTTCCTTTTTGGTGTTTTGTTTTGGATTTGTTTTTCCGAGGTAGAGTTTCTCTGTGGCTTTGGAGGCTGTCCTGGAACTCGCTCTGTAGAACAGGCTGGTCTCAAACTCACAGAGACCTGCCTGCCTCTGCCTCCCGAGTGCTGGGAGTAAAGGCGAGCACCAGCACACTCGGCTTGTTCCTCTGTTTTAGAGTT